CCCGCCGGAGAGGGCTATGTACTACGCATTACGTATCCGTATTATGTATCAAGCGCCGAAAGCCCGCCGGAGAGGGCTATGTACTACGCATTACGTATCCGTATTATGTATCAAGCGCCGAAAGCCCGCCGGAGAGGGCTATGTACTACGCATTACGTATCCGTATTGTGTATTCAAGCGCCGCAACCCTCCGCCGGGTTGTGTGTGAGAGCTGGGGGGGGAGTCCGCTCCGCAGCATGCAGCCCTAACCCCCCCCCCCCCTCGGCCCAGACCCTAACTTCGCGCTGCGCCGCTCGGGCTGCCATAAGTTGGCTAGGGTTGTATGTGCGCTGGTAACAACAGACTCGGGCATAGCCCTCGACAGCCACCCCCTAACCCCCCACCCACCCCCCTTTATGTGCGCGCACTGGCGCTGCCGCTCGGGCTGCCATAAGTTGGCTAGGGTTGTATGTGCACTGGCAACAGCGGAGCTCGCTGGGGGTCTTCTTGTCACATATATTTCCGGGCTTATCACCGACCGGGTTAAGACTAACCCTACCTTTTCTATTCTATCGGCTCGCTGCGCTCGCTCTAAAAACGAGCTCGCTGGGGCTGCGCCCCATCTCGCCGGTCTACACGTTACTTAGGTTTCTCAACCCCGTTGAACAATATTCAATACACACGTACACACGTACACGTAATAGACGCTGAACCGCAGCCTAGGGGTGGAACGGCATGCCGGCCGTGTAGCGGTTGCGCATGTGCATCAGCCGCAGGATCGTGAAGAGGAAGCGCGACTCATTCATCGTGCGGAAGACGTGCTTGCTACGCGCGAGCCAGGCGAAGCCCTGCTCGGCCACCTCGGTGTTGTCGTCCGGGCGCAGCTCCTTGCACTTGTGGGGGTCGACGTGCCTGCGGCAGTACTCCGCGTTGTGGTTGCGGAAGTGAAAGCGGTCCACCACGAGCTTGATCGTGCTCAGCAGCCAGCACAGCCAGGGGCTGCAGGGCCTGCGCCTGTGCCAAAACCCGTGGAGGTGGCACGCGTCGTCGTAGGCGAGAACCTTGGGCGGCACGACGCCGGGCGTGGTGAGCAGCGAGTGCACCGACTGGTGCACCTGCTTGAGGCTCTCGGCGACCGCAAGCTCGTCGACGCTGAGGAACAGGCCGCACGAGGCGAGGGTGGCGAGCACGCCCGCCGTGGTCCGCTTCTTCATGTCCGCGTACTGGTTCTCCTTGAGGTTGTTGCACGGCACCTCGAGGACGACGGCTGCGAGGTCGGAGCCCTCCGCCGAGTCAAAGTCGCCGTCATCCTTGCGCTCCGGATCGGCGGCGAACTCCCCGGCGTGCGGCGGCTCGGCCACGGGCGGTGCCACAGGGGGTGGCTCGCTGCTCGCCGCCGCCCGGCCACCTCGCGTGCGCGCCGAGATCCTCGCACGCCGGGGGTCGGCCTGCAGCGCCCGCTCGCGCGCGAGCCGCTCCGCCTCCTTAGAGCACTCAGGCGCCCTCCCCACACGAGCTTGCCTTCGTTTAGGCGCACGAGCCGGAGCGGGCGGCGCCGCCATCGACGACCGCGGCGTCCCCGTCGACGGCGGCGCCGCAGCCGCCTGTGCGGCGCCGTCCGGCGGCGCCGGCGGCCGCCCCACCGGCATCGACATCCTTCATCGGCGGGCTCGGCTCCTACCTCTTCAAGTGAGGCCGCCCATCCAAGGGGAGCTGGCAGTCAACCCATCAGGTGCGCCAGGCGGCGCCCGAGCCGCGGGGGAGGGACACCCCGCACGGACGACTCACAGGTCTAGCCCGCTTGGGCCCCTCGGAGGAGGGGCCCACGATCCGGTCCGCTAGAGCTCTCTGGACAGCGGACCAGGGATGGGCGCTCCTCTCACCTGCGCTCCCAGGGCAGAGAGGGCCCGCGCGCTCTGCTCCAACCAGCCCTCGGGAGAGATAAGGCAGGGGGGGGTCTCCTTCACGGCTCGGGTTCGTACGCCGCCTGTCGCACATTAGGTGGTGATCGCCATCGAGGCCGGCGTCCGTCGCCCGGTCGCCCCAACCCCCCTCGCCCCCGCCCTACCGCTGTGCCCTCGGCCCCC